TATTCTTCAATGCGTCAGGTGTGGGAAGTGGGAAGGGTGTAACTAAAAAGGGGTAATTTGAGTTTGCACCCTATTTTATTCTTGAAATTGGACTTTGCACCTCGTTTTTAAAAATCTTTATTTTTGCACCCCAACCCCATATGAAAAGAAAAAAATGACCCTCCATTAACAATTCTGTTGCCTTCAACATATTCTTGACAGAGGGGCATTTTTGTCTTTTCATAAGCGGTTGAGATGCAAAAACAAAGTTTTTAAAAAACGGGGTGCAAAGTCCAATTTCGACAATAAAATGAGGTGCAAACTCAAATTACCCCAACTAAAAAAAAAAGAAAAAACTTTCAAATTACAAGCTAAAATCGAGATTGCTAATTTTAGCCACTCTCATATACTAGCCAATAGCCACACACAAAAATGCCATCGACTAACACTTGAGGCATTAAATGCTATTCCACACACAAATTATTGTAATTATTATTATTAATATTATTCTGATTTGTATTTTGAAAAATAAGGATGCTTAATTGGAATTCAGTCTTAGATCAGATTAGACTAATTACATATATCACCATTAAACAGATCTGAAGAGAGCTTTACCGATCAGATTAGATCGAATGAGATCAGACTTCGACAACGATAGAATACACATAAAATGAACATCTATATGAACAGAACAGACATAATAAATTCAGACGAGACCAAATAAAATCAGTAAATTTCTATGCAATTTAGAACATCCAATTCGAAATGTTATTCATAGAACATTACAAATGTACTTTATTGGAAATTCAAAAAGTAAAGGTGTTCTTGCATAATATTATGTAATACTAAATTTACATTTTAATTAATTGCAATAGGAAAATTAAAATCATCATAAAAAATCAAAACGCCTTTTCATGCCTATGCCTCGCCTAAACTCGCCTAGGCTTCAAAGGTTCGAGGCTTGATCATGCCGCCTCGACATGCCTTACACCTTTTAGAACATTGGGTATAACTAGTTAAAATAATTTTTTGTTACATTTATTGATAACAAGTATACATTATTTAATAATAACTAAAAGTTGTCACTGCTTTTAGCTTTTAACTTTTAAGTGTTTAATTTAAGCAAAAACAATTATTTCTACTTTTTTAAGCTAAGTGTTTGATTTAAACAATTATTTCTACTTTTTTAAGTTAAAAGCTGAAAAAAACTTTTATTTTATTTTTTGCAAAACCCCCTTCATAGTGATTGGAGTAGGTTAAGCATTATTAAGGTGAGGTACGTGAAAGAAATCCCCTTACAAATTTTAAAAGTAATAAAGTTCTTGGGACATTTAAATAAAGAAAATTGGTAAAAGTTAGTAATGTAGGAAATAGTTCTGGATTTCAGCTCGCTGATGGGAGGTAATTACCGTGCCTAATGAACATCTCGGGTACGAAACCCACTAGGCACAAATAGGGGAGATGAGGGAGATCTTGCTCCCATTGATTCTCCCTACCTTCACAGAGCCGCTCAGCGGCTAAGAAGGGAGAGAGTAGTAATGCAGCTTTGCGGATTCGTGTGGTAGGAGGACCCCCTGGATGCTGGACTATGCGGGCTAACAGGCTTTGGAAGTCCTACTGGATTCGCTCTGTGGAGCCAGTACCAACGAGACTGACTGTGTTAGATCCAGATTTAATTGTCTAGGGGCTTTGGAGAGTATTTCATAGACTCCCGGATTAGGGGAGCGCAAGTAGGGGTGGACCAAATCGGGCTGTGAATTGGACCGGCCCGCTACTGTGCGGGCCTGGACCGGACCGGACCAAGACCGGATGGCCGGTTCCGGGCTTTATCCCGGGTTGGGCGGGCCTGACGGGCCGGGCTCGGGCTCTATTTTTCTTGAACCGGCCCGGTTCATTTTTTTTCAATTATTTTTCTTTTCCTTGGATAGGGCTGGATGTTTTGTAGAGGTTTGAGGGGGGGTGGGGTGGGTGGGGGGTCGGGGGTTAATTAGAAAGCAAATATATATATATATATATATATATATATATATATATATATATATATATATATATATATATATATATATATATATATATATATATATATATATATATATATATATACACACACACACACACATTGGAGACCGGTCCGATTTGGCCCAGACCCGGTATCAAGCCGGGTCGGTTCCGGGCCCAATATCTGAAAAAATGCCCGACTTGAAGTGATTCGGGTCAGGTTCATGCCTAAGCGTAAACACCGACACATGGATAATAAAAAAAAGAAATATTTCTACCTCTACAAGAGAAGTGAAAGAGTAGGTTCAGACGTTCAGTTTCAGCTCAATACTTTTTCTCCCGCGTGAAATTAATGATGTCTGGTACATTCTCCTCTCAATAATCGTTGACAGCTAACAATTTCCTAGATATTGATCACGTGATACATGCGTAAAATATCATAATGGAAATAATAATCCCTTCAAACTAAAGCATCAAATCCGTGAACCCAAAGTTAAAAATACTTGGCCTTTATTTAGAAGTCCATTTACTTGAAAAAATTAACAACAATATCCAACTATCCAAGCCTTAATCCAAAAGAATTTGAGGTCGACTAACATTAATCTATATCGATGTCAAACAGAGAAGACAAACAAGTAAGAGAAGGAAAAAAGTAAGATAAAACAAATAAAATAAAGAAAAATAAATACTCGTATAAGATAACAATAACACAAGAATATAAAAAAGATAAAAGATTAAAAATAAAAGAGCAAAAAAAAGCTAGAAGATAAAAATAACATAAGAATATAAAAAGATAAATAAGATAAATGATAGAAGAAAAAAGAGAGGAAATGTAAAAAAGACATCAATCGTCCACACGGATGTGCGCCCTCCACCTTGCTCTCTCCAAAGTCATACTCTCATCCAACCTAAAAAGGCGCATATCAGTTTTGATTCCTCTAATCCAAGTTTGTTTGGGTCTTACCCTCCCTCTCTTCTGTCTCTTCTCCCTACCCCTCAAGTTGTCTAAGAGTTGCATCACTCGGTCTTCGACGCACTTGCCCAAACCACCGCAAATGAGACTCCTGGATTTTATCTTCTATAGGTGCTACTCTCACCTTTTGTCTAATTATCTCATTCATCAAGCGGTCTTTTCTGGTATGTCTACACATCTTTTGAATGTGGCATTGATTCACCGCCTAACACTCTACGCCATACATTAATGCAGACATAATTATTGTTCGATAAAATTTACCTTTCAATCTAGTCGGTATACCTCAATCGCATAGAAATCCTGAAGCACTCTTTCATTTCATCCTCCCGACTTGAAAAAATTAAGTTCACCAAAAATTAGTAACACCGTGATTTGGCAAAAACTATTATTGGACGAGTTTCTCTGGAGTGGAATCTTATGGTTTGTTTGCTTTGGTTTCAGGCATATGAAGTTCAAACGTAACTCAAGGTCTCAAGCTTCGTTACCTTAGCAGAATAGCAGTTAGCACTTATGGAAGCTGGAATACAAATATTCTATAACGACTTTTAGGATGTTATTAACTCGATGTAATTTTTTCGTTTAATCTAGTCTAATTTTATTCATTTAAATCTGCTCTAATTTGAACTGATTTGATAGACTTATGTTCTTCAAGTATTTTTACAACTGTCAAAATCTAAAAAGCTTTACTCTAATATGTTTAGATCTAGTTTGATTTGTTCTGATTTAGTCGGGAATTGAAACCATTCCAACTCAATTACCGTTTCTTTCTGTTTTTTACCCCAACACTTTTACGACCAAGGGTCTTATCCTAGACCAACATCAAATATCTAACAGGGATCATCACTTGAAACGATGGAATTTGCACCACATTTTAAATATGGGATAATTTGCAACTCATTTTCACAATAAAATTGTGGTAAATTTTGGGGACGGGTTGTGTAAAGGAGTTGCAAACATGTTAGTTTAGTAAGTGGCAGAAACAAAAGGAGGTGATGCGATTGTAACAAAAAAAGTGAATTTATATGATTCTTGTTTTCTACTAGTATTATGTAAAGTGGTATTGCGGAAAAAACAAAATGAAAACTACAATTTGACTTCACACAGATTAAGAAAATAAATTTGACTTCACACAGATTAAGAAAATAAATTTGACTTTACTGTGGAGTGCACTGTTTGGCACTATTTGGACATTGTTTGACACTGTTTTGCACTGTTTTGTTTCCTACAATGGAAGGGTGAACTTAAATAAGGGACATCTCAAAAAGAAAAGTGAGAACTTTAATACGGACCGGAGGGAGTAATTTCTTTTTGGCAATGCTTTCTAGAGGGATGGAGTGATAATTCTGTTATTGGGAAAATAGTAGCATGCATCTTTCGTGGAGTAGTTTCGTTTATATAATTCCTACTAGCAAATAACAACTTTTCTAGTTCCCAACGATTTAAACTACCAAATAAATCTCTGCTTAAATTTTAGACACAGCTATCTGCCTATCAATGATAATATTTAGAGACAAGAGGTTATGAATTAATTAGAGGATCGGATTTGATCAGAAGCAGCTGGCTAGCAAAAAGATTTTAACAGTTTAGTGTCAAATGGATCGAGGTGGTGTGGAGATGGAGAGAACAGGTTCACTGGACAATGATGAGATTCCGAGAAACGTGGGGAGGAAGAGAAGAAAGTGGTGGGGCGAATGGAAGAAGATGTGGGAGATAGCTGCACCGGCCATTCTCACGGCGGTGGCGCAGTTCTCCTTTGGCTTTGTCACAGTGGCTTTTGTCGGCCATCTCGGAGCTCTTGAACTCGCTGTCGTCTCCATTGTTCAGAGTGTCATCGAAGGCTTCGTGTATGGTGTCATGGTACATATCTCATCATCATTACCTCAGCGTCACAAAGACTTCCACCTAAAGTGGGATATGGGGGGTGGGGGTGGGGGTGGGGATGTACGTGTCTACGTGTGTATCAGAAGAACAAAACCATCGGGTTCATCAACAAAATATACTAAGGAGTGCTATGTAGATTACTAGTAAAGAGAAAATTCCCTACATGACTAAAAGAAAGACAAAGTTCATAAATAACTGTTATTTCCATAATAGAGCTCAATCACTCCTATTTTGGGAACTTTTAATCTAACATCTCATTTTTATAGGACTAAATAAGTCTTATTTAAGGAACAAAACATACTTAGTCCGATTTAAGATAAGGAATAAGGTGAAACTTGCATGGTCTCCTAATTATTTCCTTTGATTTTACCTGAATCCCTTCTTGTATTAGCTAGGAATGGGAAGTGCACTAGAGACTCTGTGTGGGCAAGCAGTGGGTGCAGGGCAGTATGAAATGCTTGGAGTGTACATGCAAAGATCATGCATCATCACTTTATTCACAGCCTTGCTGCTAACCCCTTTCTACGTCTTCACATCCCCATTACTAGAGCTTCTTCGCCAAAGCAGAGACATTTCAGAGCTCGCAGGGAAATATGCAAAATGGGTCATTCCTCAACTGTTTGCTTACGCATTAAACTTCCCAGTCCAAAAATTCCTCCAAGCTCAGAGTAAAATCTGGGTAATCACAGTGATAAACATCCTCGTACTGGCATTTCATGTTGTCTTGAATTGGGCACTTGTAACAAAGCTTGGAAAGGGACTGTTTGGCGCCGCCATGGCAGGAAACATATCATGGTGGATTGCGGTTATAGCTCAAAACATATATGTTGTTTCTGGTTTCTTCCCCGAGTCATGGACTGGGTTTTCAATGTCAGCTTTCAAAGCACTCTCTGGTTTTCTGAAGCTCTCACTTGCCTCAGCTGTGATGCTATGGTGAGTCTAAATTACAAGACCAAGAAAAGAAATTACTACACATAGGACTAAAAAACAGATTATGCGCTATAAATATAACTCATTTAGTTCAAACTTCTAAAAAAGAATAAAAGTAGGTAATGATTCTTCTATAAGCAAATGAATCATATTTCGAAGCAAAAAACAATTAGTCCTATTTGAACAAACACGGTATGTTTTGGCCCTCTTTGTGGATTTTTCCCAGCTAATGGAATAAAAACAATGGCAGCTTAGAGTTGTGGTACTACACAGTGGTGATCCTCATGGTCGGCAGGTTGAAGAATCCTGAAATTGCAGTAGATGCCATATCTATCTGGTTAGTGACAAATGAGAATAATAATTGCTACATGCATGCATGAACTCCTATCATTGGTTTTACCTTGATTCTTAGTTTTTCCCTTTTGATCTGGTCTGCCACAGCATGAATCTGCAACTCTGGACGTTGATGGTCACTTTAGGCTTCAATGCTGCAATCAGGTCACCTGAACAGTAAACATTAAGCTAATACTCCCTCAACTATACATGATTGATTAGTTTAGTTCTTGACAATTATGGGTTCAATTTGGTTATTGGTGCTATGCAATTCAGATGCGACCTACTAGTTTAAAACATTGTTCCACAGACGACCCAATTTAGGACTACATTTTCTTCTCAACTACTACGTACATAATTTGGGGTCCTTAGCGAATGAAAAGGCCATTCTTAATTAGAGAAACGTATACATAAGGATAAAAGTAGGTCCAAATTGCATAGCTGAGAATTAAATTGAGTCCAAAAGAAGACAATGACCAAATTGCCACACGAGTTCACGACTATACCTGGGATTAACCATAACACCTGTTAGTAGAACTATTGTAACAGAATGTGATCTAATTTTAAAAATGTACCCCATATACTATCCCACTTCACACTTTATTATGACCAACAAGGTCACAAATCTTATAGGTCGTGAACACATATGCAATCTAGTTTTGGAATACAAGGTTTCAAGTCAATATAGTCATAGTAAAATATAGAAAGGTGTGAAAATAAAAAGTTCAATTTCCTTGTTTTTGCAGCGTGCGAGTCTCGAACGAACTTGGAGCAGGGCATCCAAAAACTGCAAAATTTGCAGTCGTGGTGGCCGTAGTCACATCAGCTGTGTTTGGGGTTCTATTTACAACTGCAGTGCTTGCAATGGAAAACAACTTCCCAAGGCTATTTTCTGATAAATCCGAAGTCATAAAAGAGACATCCAAACTAGCACACTTCTTAGCAGTAACCATCCTCCTCAACAGCATCCAACCCGTGCTCCATGGCAAGTACCAAAACAGAAACTCAAATCGCCTAAACAATAGCTTGACACAGTTTTATTATTCACCAACATTATCACTTTGTTTGGTCAATTGGTCGGGCTGAAAACGGAATGAAATGTGGAGAGAAATAGGTGTGTGTGTGTGTGGGGGGGGGGGGGGGGTAAAAAGGGGGGTTTCCTCCAATACTTTTAAAATGTTATTACTCACAGGCAATTTGTTGTGACTACTATTTAAATTTAAATATTTCCAAAAAGAAACTAAATATGTCAATTTTACTATGTCATTCCCAGTGACCCCACCACCACCAGTGACACCACTCCACATGTCACTGTCACCAACGGATGTTCTTCCATTGATTTCTTCGACAACTTTTCCTGGAAAGTCCGTCACGTGAGCGGTAGCTGTCGGCTGCTAGGCGGTGGGCCGGTGGTAGTGCCAGTAGAGAGGTTGATACAAAAGATTTTGGGGTCAGTTAATATTTCGATTCATGTCATGTGAGGTGACTAAGTGTCTAAGTGATATTGTTAACCGTCACACACCTACTACAACACCCTCCTCCTTTGGGACAAGCATGATACCAAAAATGATCTCATGGCGGAGTTATTTGAGAGGTTGATGTGGTACAAAAAAAGATAGGAATAGAGTTATTTCTTCTCGATTTCCACCAATTTCTTTTCCATGTCCCTCCTATCAAACACTACATAAGGTCTATAACACGGAGTGTTTCCTTTTTCTAATATATCATTCTTTACGACTCTTGCTCACTCATTTCTCTCCTCTCTATTCCTTCCCTAAACCAATTGCAAGCTATGTGGTTTTGCAGGGGTTGCAGTTGGTGCAGGGTGGCAATATTCAGTTGCGATTATAAACATAGGTTGCTATTACATAGTGGGTCTTCCTTTAGGAGGTTTGCTTGGCTACAAAGTAAAGCTTGGAGTGAAGGGAATTTGGATGGGAATGTTAGCCGGTACAATACTTCAAACTATCATTCTTGTACTGAAACTGTTACTGGCCAACTGGAATAAAGAGGTATATGTTGACAAACAAACTACTCCGCACTACTTTTATTGATATAAAACTCACAACTTGCAACTACATCATTACTAAAGACTGCTGTGATGTTAATATAGCTAAATGATCAGCCTGAACCCAGCAGGAAACTAGTTCAGATATTTTGTACCGTTTTTCCTTTACTACCGCTTCAGTTTGATTGGTCGATGCATATCAGTTAATCAATATAATAAAAGGGGTAACACAATTTCAACCAATAAAAATGAGTGCTAAACAAATATATGGTACAGACAATTTCAATTCAATAGGATAGCAAAACTAAACCCTAACCCTAAGAGGAAAAGGAAACTAAAATATTCAGAAACTAGAATTACTCTATTTCTGTATTTATTATTTGTCATACTTATGGTTGCAGAAAAAGAATGCATAGTGAAACAGCTTTAGTTACTTGCGATGAAAAGATTGATGAATAAATATAAGCTTACCTGTTGCAGGCAATGCAAGCCAAAGAGCGTATTAGATCACATGCCAATGTAACTCTGCCAGAAAATAGAGAACAAATCTGATTCTCATCACAGAGCAGTGCAGTGAGATCAAATATTGTGCAATTGGTTAGAAAAGAATATATATATATATATATACACACACACACACACACACACACACATAGCTAGAAATCTCTTGCATTACAATAATTATAGAAAGGTTGGTTTTAGAATGAGACGTAATGTGTATGATCTGGAAATTTGCCAATGGATAAATCGGTTGTAAATGTATTCTTTGTATTTTTTCAAGAGTTTAAATCAATACCAAGGCCTAAAGTATATCAGTATATGCAGCAACCATATGCAGAGCTTCCTCATGCCATATATTTTCGTAAAAAGTATAAATGTTAAAAGGATATCAACAGTAAAGCTCAATCAATAAGGTTAACTACACAAAAAAATTAGGCCTTTCCCCATGAATATTACTAAAGTACTATACTAAATTCAAAAGACAAAAATGTGAATTATATTACAAAATTTTCCCAAAAAGTGACATATTGAATGACTAGTTCGCAACGACTCATTATGCACCGTTGACTTGTCTACGACTAGTCATATTTTTGTCCAAAAAACATAACTAGTAGTATTTTTGTCTGGGGAAATTCAGTTACTGATGAATTAGAAAAGACCATCAAAGTGCATTCAAACAATGCTGTAGTAGAAAGCATTCAAAGGGGTGGAAGAACAGAAGACCATGACTTGTGTTGCTTACTCACTTTGGAGATGTGTCTCGGTATATGCATTTGACTGGAAATGCAAAACAATGCACAAAAGACTGAGGCATTATTAATCATTGAAGAAACAGAGAGTAATGGATATCAAGATATGTACTACTACGTATCTAAGTTTGAACTTCAAGAGGAACAAATCAGGACCTATTACCTTTGCAAATAGACTTCGATTGAAAATTTGAACCACCAAACATGGTTGCTCACTTGCTAAGAAGAATTTGGACATCAAGTCAAGTGAAAAAAAGTCGTTTTGGAAAACCGAGTAGACCAGCTTTTGGCCTTGCTCCTCCATTCGCGATTCATGAGCTCAAAAGTGGCCCTGGGCCCATGCTATTACAATTTGCGCTTTTGGATAAGCTTATCCAAAATTGATTCGGAATTTGATCCCAAGATTGATCAGATTTTGATGGGCCGAGAGCCGGAGACGTTTAGGCAGGTCCATGCGGACCGGGTTTTTTACCCGCCTGGTCCGAGACATTTTGGGCGGGTCAGACCTGCTCAATCTTGCGAATGAAGCAGGTCCGTCCCGCTCATATTCGTGATGCCCTGACCCTCCCCGCTCAAAATACAAGTATACATACTTTTTAAAAATGCACTATATATATATATATATATATATATATATATATACACACACACACACACACATATGCATACATATGTGTGTATATATAATAAATCATAAATTATTTGGTTTTATAATATATTAATATTTGTATTTGAATGAGATGAATGGTGAATTGTCAATGTTTGTTTTATTATAGATAGAACAATTATATAGCATTTTATATATTCAATTATTATTATAAATAGATTAACTATTCAAGTCTAAGTACTTTTTCCTTAATTTTTGAAATTTTTAGCGTATTGTGTCTTTAATTTAATATATATTTTTTTATAATTATGTAGAAATAAACTTTATGTAGATTCAAGTGATAACGACTTTCACGCAAATAGAAAAACATACTAAGCTAACTAATTAGGTTACGGCGGGCGGGGCGGGTCCATCTAGTAAAGTCACGGGGCAGGGGCGGGTCTTAGAGTACATGCCCCACCCGACCCATTGTCATGCCTACATTAGAGTGGCGTGTGAATGCACCATCTCTATTTTGTGATGTTTGGCCCATATAGTAAATACTACCGTCGTCTCGGTTTCTATTGCAAAATAATACGGTTATTTAGACAATAATTAAATATGATAATTCGAGTATATTTTGGGGAAAAAATGATGGTTATATAATATATAATGAGATCATTGATGATAACTGTGATGTTATAGATATTGTTTTTAATACATGATGATTCAATTATTATTTAATAGTATTAATTGTTCCATAAAGTAGAAATGAGAAACTTTAAATGAAATGTCATAAAAACGAAAAAAGAAAGTGAAAATCTTACTATGGAATGGAGGGCGTAGATCTTATCCAAAACTTTTGGCATATATATGCCCATACTTCAAAACTTTAATTGGGTTATCAATAAATTCAAATACAAGCAACTAGTTTATAATTATTTGGGTTATAAAAATCATGGACCCAAACTCTTTAGTTAATTGGTGTACGGTAGAAGTCCCTAAAAACAAAATAGTACTTCCTCCGTCCCATATTTATCTTCGTATTTCAGTTTACTATGCTTGACTGATGATAAAGCAACTTGATCAGTGTTCACATTAAGATTATTTTTAGTAAACTAAATTTACATATTAAGAAACTACATTAAACCCGCTACAAAGGCTGATCAAAAAAATTTAAGTTTGATAAAAAATTGATATATAAAGTAAAAGTTTAAGAGTGATTTGAGTTGACCGTGTGAATAGTAACTATGAAGATAATTTTGGTACGGAGGGAGTATGTAGTACGAACTACGAAGTATGCAATATATTCCTACCACCATGGCCAAAGTTGTTTACCCTCATTGACTAACAATGGCCAAAATATCAAGTAGATAGGAATTTAATTCAATGATCATTTAGTTCAAGAAAGAACTCTTCTTGAATATGTGCCTCTAAGTTAATGAGTACGGCGTATAAAAGTCCTATTTTTGGCAACTTTGATAATGGTTCTCACCGGTAGCTGAGAGTAAAATTGTTTGCTTTTCCTTGAATCTTTTTGTTTAAAATACAGAGTAGCAACAAGTTTTACTCTGTCAGAATTCAAATAAAAACGGGAAGATAGTAATTTGTAATGTAAAGTCTAAAGACTAAAGAAGAGGTGCAAAACAAACAGTTTTAGCGAGTCGTATGGACGCAAATAGGCATATGATTGCCTTGAAAAATGGAAATGGACTTGTACCAGAGGTACAAATCACAGATTCACAGAAACCAACATTTAGAACAATAGACCATACTATGACTAGATCGGAATTACAATCAATGCTCTCTATAGCGAGACTAACACAAACGTACAGCTTTTAAGTTCAGATTTCAGACGCCATGTCATCGCTTTCCATCGTTGATGGCACTCCAGCTGGCGTTGGGGGGTCCACATCGCAAAAGCTTCCACCATCAGATGCGAAGCCGCACTGCGACTGTTCCATCTGCCCAAAATTTTCACCATGCATGTGGCTGAACATGTGGGGAAATGGGGAAGACACTGCGTGGATCACAATTCTGATGTTGTGTATCATATCCAGGCTGGTAATGCTTATGTAATTTATTTTCATCGGCGTAACTCTGCCTCCTTCCCCTGCCGTCGTCAACACCAGGCTGTGTTCCCTATCCATAGTCGGCAACAGGCTTCCCGACGGCAGGCTCAACAGTTCCGAGGCAAGGATCTTCCGATTCGGCACAACGTGAAAATGGAAATTCGAGAGGTACAGAAATCCGTTACCGGCCAGAAGGTTGGAGTCCTCCAAGGCGAAAACAGTCATGGAATTCAGCTTCGACAGCTCGGCGAATTTCACTCTCATCGCCAATGCAACGAATCTGTACCGGCTATTCTCCAATCGAATGATTGCGTCTTTCAGCATCAGGTGCATGATAGATATCCTCGTTTCCGATGAAGAAATTGATGACTGCGGAGGAAATGACAGAGAATTAATATGCTCCATGCTGCACGATTCCGGCGAGAGATGAGCTACGAAGCCTCGGATGCCATGGATCACGATGACGCCATTGTAGAACAGGTCTGGCTGGGTGATCATTGCACCATTGACGAAAACCTGCGCTTGATCGCGAATCACGGAAGTAGTAGTCGTGATAGTGAGGCAGCGGTTTTCGGCGAGAGTTTGGATTTTAGTGCCAGACGCTAATTTCCGAAGGAATTCGAGCGGATATAGTCCAGGAACAGAGTGCTCGTGCAGGAGCAGTCGGAGAACGCAGGCGTGGCAGGTGAGGATCGACGAATCAGCAGGCGCGAATATAGTGATCGGAGCTCCGGTGGAGAGATTCACACCGGCGGCAGCAGTAGATAACTCCTCGAACCCTAGAGAATAGAGGATGTTCGCGAAAGCCGGAGGCGTGTAAACATTAGCATCGACGTAAGAAGACTGTTCCGGTGATAGTGGAAATGACGGCGGAGGTGATGATGGTGATTGAGCAGAAAGGTCGCTCGCGTCGGTTGTAGCTGCGGATATGAAGATCGAGATGAGAATGAGTAAGACAAGGAGGATCTGCAGTTGCAGAGTGGCGGTAGCCATGGCGGTTTTTCCAGAGAAGGAAAGAGATATTGAAGGATCGGTATGTGAATGTGAAGTGAGGATGGTTGTGCGACAGAGGAGTAATTAAACAAAGCTAGTGGCGGGAAAGAAACTGACCGGAATGCATGAACGGGCAGTCAGTTAGGAATTCTGTTGCAGTTACCGATTTGACAGAAATGACCTCATTGGGCAAGCTGGTACTGTACGCTGCTACTTCATTTTCAATGAATCGTTATACACTACTCCCTCCTTCTCTTAGCTTGTCCAAAAAGGTTGAATGCCCAAACCCAAGCCCCCACCCCGATCCGACAGGATGGTGGAGAGGTTAATCACGGTGCCTCAGTCAGCAGAATGACAGTAGGCTCATACGCCCGTGACAGGATAGTGAGAGGTTAGTCAAGGTGGAATCGTTATAGAGTACTCCCTCCTTCCTTAATGTGTGGTGGTTGGAAGTTTGTCAAGTGAGAAATATGTAAGAATTGTTGTTAATCATAAATTTTTTATCAAAAAGAACAATGGAAGTTTATTTTGGGACGTTCAAAAAGAAAAGTTTGAAAATTTTTTCAACGACAGATGGAGTACTCCATAAGATAAAATTAGAGAGAATTACTCGACCAGAACTAAAGACGGCCAAAATTTTTAAATTTTTTAGTATGACTAATGATATGTGTTTGGACAAATTTACACTTAAAACTTTTGAAATGCTTTAATTCATAATAAAATCGTAAAAAATAATAAAAAAATATTAAAAAATGATAATAAAATATTTATAAAATAAAAATACCAAAAAAAATTGTCTTTAAAAAAATCAAAAAATTTAAAAAAACGTAAAAAATAAAATAAAATACACCGCCACCTCTACCATACCCACCATCAGCTTCAATCATTGCAGGAAAAAATGCCAACATGCATTAGAAATATCTTAATCATGACAGTTTCAATAAAAAATTTGGCATTATGAAGAGTAATAATGTCATTTTCTGGGCATTTTCAGAAAAAATAACTTTTTAAAAAAAATGACATTTTTCACTGATCGGAGGTGGTGGTGCTGCGAGGCGTAGAGCCGGTGGAAAAGACATCCATATTTTTTAATTTTAAAAATAAAGTTCAAAAGAAATTGAAATTTTTATTTTATAAATATTTTATTATTTTTTTATTACTCTCTTACGATTTTATTATGAATTAAAACATTTCATTATGAATTCATACTCTTAACGGTATTTGGGAAAGATAATTAATGTTTAACCCTATTTTATGACTTGAATGATTTAGGGCTTTAGTCCTATTTGTGATTTTTAGACAAGTTTAAGTCCTATTTAGGACAATTACTAAAAAAATTATCATATCACTAAAATTAATTAATCACTTGAAACTATGACCAAAATAATACTACCGCCTTTCTATTAGATAAAAATAAAGCTGGGTTTAAATTTGTACCAAAAAATGATTAATTATATGTTAACAAACAAAAAAAATCTCTCGTATATATACAACATATGTTGGTAGAAAATATTGTAGAAACTGCAGTAATTCAGTATAGTGAAAATAGCTTGGGGTTACAGGAGGATTGTATGGCCTATTTATAGGCGTTTACAACAAGTCCAATAGTAAAAGGTTACATGGGCTTGGCCTAATCTAAGAACTAAAACTGATGCTAATGGGCCTGCCGGCTCGATAAATAAATAAATAAATAAATAAATAAATAAATAAATAAATAAATAAATAAATAAATAAATAATCCGGGACCGATTTCAATTAGTCGGGGTGTGTTCTAAGCTAGGTCAGGCTAAAGCTCGGGTGTAACGGGACAATAGTCATGGACCCGACACATTACCCCCCAACAACATAAAACCCTAATTCACTCACATATCTCTTCATTCGACCGGTGTTGCATGCCCAACTTTTGTCATTCAATCATTGTCGCTGCTAGACTACTAGGATTTGTCGCCGCCACAGCCGCCTTGCTTCAATCGCCAATGTCGCTGATGTCGCCGCCTCGTATAGGTCTTTGTCACCGGATTTTACTCTTCTTCTCCATTTTTTGTCCGAAGTTGATGGCGACGATGTCAATCCAATCGATATGATGAAGTGACAGATCTGAGGGAGTATGTATTATGTCGTCTTTTTTCATTTTTCACATGCATATATGTTTTTCCCTCCTCTTGTTCTTAATTGGGGTAGTCATGAAGTATGTGTTTAATAATTATAAACATTGTCGTACGGGTATAAGACCTATCATCATTGGATTGGCGGAATCATCGTGATTTATATCCTCTCATATGTCTTGTCGGGGCGGAGCGTAGGGGGCTTTGGGATTGGGGGCTCATCAACCTTTATGGAGTAATAATGATGGGGTTGGGGATTCAACCTTTATGGAGGAATAGTGATGAGCACTAAAATCATGCAATGGAGAGTTTAGAGTTAAATAGTATGGAGTAGTTGGAAATGAGGGTAGTGGATTATAGTTCAATGTTTTCCGGGACAATAATTGGAAAAGGATATGTAGCGTAACACAGTGCACTACAAAAAGACAACAATATTGACACGGATTTGAAATGAATTTTGGAACAAATTCACCAAAATATGTAGGGTATATAGAACAGATTTGACATGAACTTGCGAACCTGCCAAATCTGTTTTAAAATCTAACCAACACAGTTTTGGAATGAGCTATTCGGCACGACGTCCTATCAAAAATTGTTATAATCTATACCAAAATCAATCAATCTGTATCAATTCTGTGTCAATATCGTTGTTTTTTTTGTAGTGGTCTAGTGATAGTGATGGGCTGATGGTAAAGTTGTAAAGAGTAGTGAATCTCCTATGTTTTAGTTACATTCAAGGTTAAAATTCCCATTCAGAACAAGGAATGTATATGTAACGTTTCATTGGGTGGTGAAGGGATATATAGGAGATGGAGGAGGAAATTAAATCCATCGCCGAACCACAAAACATGCATGCATTTCACATCACATCATTACGTATTTCACGTAATCGTTCCCTTTTCTACTCCGATCCATCCATTATTTCCGGCTTCCTATCACCACACCCGGCCATTAGTACGTTCTGATTAGATCCCACGAACTGAAGAAGCTAGCTAGCCAATTAATTAAGTTCCTTCCTATATCAGTTTTTTCTATTTTAATTTTAAACTAACTAACTCATGGCAGCCGCCACCGCTAGCCTCCAAGGCGGCTCTGCCTCCCCGTCCGCCTTGTCCCCGTGGAACCAACTCTCCACCGCTGGTTCCTCCCCGTGGACCCAACAGCATTCCGATGCCGATCATGAAAAGGCCTCGACCACCCAGGACCGAGAGACCTCCTTGGTCGGCTCCCTCATCCGTGAAGAAGGCCATATATATTCCCTCGCCGCTTCCGGCGGCCTCCTCTACACCGGCTCCGACAGTAAGAATATTAGGGTTTGGAAAGATACCAAAGAATATTCGAGCTTCAAGTCCAACAGCGGCCTCGTTAAATCCATCGTTGTCTTGGGCGAAGACAAGATCTTCACCGGCCATCAAGACGGGAAGATCCGGGTCTGGAAATTCGCCGACCACAAGAAGAAAACCTACAAGCGCCTAGGAAGCTTACCCACCACGAGAGACTATCTTAAAAGTTCTATGAACCCTAAATCTTACGTTGAGATTCCTAAGAAGAATCGGAACGCGCCGTGGATTAAGCACCACGACGCCGTTTCGTGTATGAGTTTAGATGAGGAACAAGGGTTGCTCTACTCCGGTTCATGGGATAGGACCGTCAAGGTTTGGAAATTGTCTGAGAACAAATGCATCGAGTCGGTGAACGCACACGACGATGCCATCAATGCATTGGTCGTCGGCTTTGACGGCTTGGTCTTCACCGGCTCGGCTGACGGGACGGTGAAGGCTTGGAGGTGGGAGACGCCAACGTCCTCTGCTGGCGAGAAGGCCCCTGCCTCGACGAAGCACGTGCTGGTGGACACGGTGTTGAAGCAAGACAACGCCGTGACATCACTTGTCGTGAGCGTGTCTGCAGCGATGGTCTACGCCGGATCCTCCGACGGGCTGGTCAATTTCTGGGAGAGGGAGAAGAGTTTCATGACGTACGGCGGCGTGCTAAGAGCTCACAAGCTAGGCGTGCTTTGTTTGGCGGCGGTCGCTAACCTCGTGCTCAGCGGCTCCGCTGACAATAGCATATGCGTGTGGAGGAGAGATGACGGGGCTGTCCACGTGTGCATGTCTATGTTGAACGGCCATAGTGGGCCCGTCAAGTGTTTGGCCATAGAGGTGGACAACGCCAAAGATGGTCAAGACGACGGCAACGATGGCACGGCAGGTAACAAGGGTGAACAACGGTGGAATGTGTATAGTGGGAGCTTGGATAAATCAGTAAAAGTTTGGAGAATAGTGCAACCGACAACAAAGTAGTAATAGAAATGTTAATGGAAGATCAAAGTTGTAGATAGGTTGCAAATTAACTAGACTATAGATGATTCTTAAGAGAGGTAAGACAAATCTCCCAAGTGGGACTTTATGATGTCAACAATCATCCACCTAGACAAGAAGGAAAAGGAACAAATAATTTTATTTTGAAATGTACATAGATTTTGTTAAAAGTTTGATTTCCTCTATTTTAAAACAATGGGATATCTGTAATTTAGTTTATTTAAACAAAGCTGGAAATTCGAGAGGATGGGAGTAGAGTTGGCCGGGCCCGGGCCGGGCCGTCGGTTCTGAATAGATGGGCCCGGGACCGGCCCGGGTACCCACCGGGTCCGGTCCGGGTCAGGCCGGGTCGGGCCTATTATCAATTTTTTTTCCTCTTCCTAATTAACCCCCCTCCCACCCCAAATGGCCCAAAATACCCAGCCCAACCAGAAAATTGAAAAAAAATTGAAAAAAAAAATAATAATTCAATTTTGGCCCGAACCAGAAAATGAAAAATTGAAAATATATCCCTATTCTACACAAATATCAACCACAAAATGTTTACTTTAGCATTCCACATACAAGTCAAATTTGACCAAATTTTATAGAACGGAAGAAGCATGTTTTATTCTTTTATGTATATTGTTAATAAAGTATATTTTTACATCAATATAATATCACAAATAGGTATGTAAACAGGGCCATCTTTTAGCATGTTAATTAAGTTAAACAGAACAAAGCTCCACTTCCCACGGGGGCCCATATTTTATAAGGCACTAGTAGTAGTATTTTTAGGCCACTAACATTAATGAATTGATTAATAATACAATATAGTAGTGTATAATATCGTATCTGATTATGGGCTGCGGCTAAATTCATACTCCACTACTCGTATAATAATGCAAACATAAATTGAAACACTTTAAAAAAAATTGTAGAGACTAATTATTTGAAAGGGAAAATTTGGTATATGTAATTTTTTAATTTCACTATTTAATAAGTATTCAATTGATTTGAATATAATAAAAATTTTAATTGGACGGGGGCCTCAAATTTGTATCTTGAACGGGGACCTCCAAATTCATTAGATGCACTGGCATATACATGCATGTCAACCGACCAGCAAACCAATTCTAAGCATTAGCATTGAACTCCTAGCACGAAGAAACTCAACTGCATCAAGGGACAGATTCCATGTTACTTTCAGATAATGAGTTTTCTCTGTGATTTTCTTAAATGTCTTTTTACAAAGAATAAATATTACTGTAGTCTTGAGGATAATTATTCCTGTACAGTGTCTTGTTTGGCATTGTACAATCATTATTACTTGAGGATAGTCATGTAAACTAATACTCAGTACGTAGTAAGTTTTTTTTACAAAATAGAAATAAGCTAGACTGTATTTAGGGAGTATAAAATAGCATAAAATAACATACGGTCATCTGCGCTTACTGTATGGTGGAATTATGGAATGGAAGATCCGGATTGCTTCCAAATTTAGTGGGCCCTATACCGTGAAGGCGTGAACTGATGTGGACTCTTCATGCAATAATTCGACCGTCGAATAACTGAAGAGTATCCATATCCAGACATTTTATTACCACTCTCTGACAGCAACTCCACATTAAATCCATGTTGAGAATACTGGTTTTTAAGCCAAATACCCATTTGGAGCTTGTCTGGGAACCTACAAAATACATTACATACATATTTAAGCTGCTTTTGAAGATTTAAGCATGTTTAAATTCGGCTTTTTTCTTAAGAAAGTTCAGCTGTTTTTTAAAAACTAAATAACTAAAATAGCTTTTTTCATAAGATGTGGCACTGGACATTTACACCCTGTGAATAATTTTGGACACCTCAATTTTTCTTTCAGCTATTTTATCTTCTACAATCTACTTTTTTTTGTTCCATCTACAACAACATTACCCCAGTGACGCAAAGGCCCCGACCTATGATACGGGTAAGGGGGGTCGGATGTACACAGCCTTACCCGTGTACTAAAGAAGAGAGACTCTTTCCGGATGACCCATGATGAAAACCGTGTCGAAAATTGCATGGACTGACTGATGCTTTAAAGCAAATTAATTTTTTTAGACAACTTTGAAGCAATAATTGATTGTACATGCAATCAACTAATGGAAAGTGTAATTTACAGAGCAATAAAAAAAAACACTCAAATGAAGAAACTTATAGACAGATCAGTAAGCCAAAGTTTCACTCACTTCTCAACGTGTTGATGAATGATGTGTTCATCCCTTTAGCAGCCTTTGTGGAGATATCATGAGGCAAAGATAGTGTGTGCTTGAGCCGATGCCGTGAAACATGACAAGCATCTCTCAGATATTCACTTCCAAGAATTGCTCCTTCACATGTGGACTCTAAAAAACATGTGGCTACAAATCATGCAATATGGAATGTGCTAGGAGTCCCAATGGGCGATTTTGCCTTCAATTGAAGCTTGACGCATCTCCAGTTACATCTAAGAGTCCCTAACAGAACTTCCTCCGATGTTCTGAGCAAAGCAGTTTGTGATACTGGAGAAAGAATTTTAAAAGAACTCTCTCAAATCCAAGGTGTCCAACCCTCGTACATACTGCAAAGATTATCTATACTGGTTGCCTGCTTGAGCAGATAATCAACCTGTTCTCCCACACTTACCTCTCTGAAAACACGACAACAAGTATATAAGAGCATTTCATTATCAGAACAACATAACATTATGAGAACCAGCTTTACGAATTCAGTGAATTTAAAAAAGAAACTGTACCTGTCATCTACAACATCTCGGCCATCAATTTTCATATCCATCCGCTTCAAAATTGACACAGCATAATGATTTTTACCTTGAGTACCAAATTATATATGTACAAAATGTGTTACAAGACATACAACAATAAGATTAAAGACCATCATCTACCCTCCACCCGCCTAAGAAAAGAGGAGTATAAACTTCAGAGACAAAACAAAGAAGGGAATCAATAAGGTACAGAAGGTTGAGGGATCCTATATTCCTATAAGACTACAAGACTTAGGACACGTTTACTTCACAGGTTACTAAACGGTGCTTATTAAGACTCGCATTAATAAGCGGCGTATAAAATAAGCAGTGTTGTAAGCTCATGTTTACTTCAAAAGATTTAAAACACCGTTTAACATTAAAATGTCTAAAATAACCCTATACATATATAGACACACAAACATTCATGAACACAAGTATATAATATAATATGTGGGGTACCCATACCCCTAACCCTACCCCGCCCTACACCCGTCCCCCACCCTACACCCAATTCCACACCCTTGACCCTACCCCTTCCCTACCCCTACCCTTACCATGACCTTACCCTTTACCCCTACTCCCCTACAACCCTCATACCGCATACCCATACCCCCATACCCCTCCTCGTGGTCGGGTCGGGGTGGGGTCGAGGTAGGGGCAGGTGGTATGGGGTAAAAGGGTAGGGTAAGGGGCACGGGTGGGGTGGGGGATGGGGCAGGTGGTAGGGGGTAAAGGGGTAGGGTCGGAGTAGGGAAGGGGTACGGGGTGGGGTGGGGTCGAAATAGGGGAAGGTGGTAAGGGGTACCCGGGGTAGGGGTCAGGGTAGGGTAAGGGAGGGGTACGAGTGGGGGTATGGTCGGGGGTAGGTGTGGTAAGGGATAGGGTGTAGGGGTATGGTCGGCTAGGGGTAAGGTAGGATGTGTAAGGGTGGGATCGGGGTAAGGTAGGGTTGGGGTGGGTAGAGGGGTAACAATAGGGTAAGCGCAAGGGGTAAGGGTAAATTCGGAAACTGAACATGCTTAATGTGACGCTTAATTAATACATGGGGATGGTATGCTTAGTAAACGGCTCTTTAAGCACCTCTTTCGGTTAGTAAGCAGCTTTTAAGCAGCTTGCGTGTTTACTTCACCTGTCTTTAGAGTTAGGGGGATACATCCATAATAGTTAATGTTTTGCAACTCACTTCTGATCCAACTGGAAGCTTCAGTATTAGTGAACAAAGGTCCATTAGTGTCCTCAACCTTTTCTTGGCTTGATGATGATGCTTTAACTTTTGGCCAATAATTCAATCCAGAAGTTTCCTGGTTTAAAAACATAAATTGTAAGAAGACAGGTTAATGTTTGTTGCATATTGTAGCAAAAGGCTCCAACCTGTATATTTTGAGATCTTGATTGTTCGAAAGATGATATATTTGGAAGAGCAACACCAACTGAAGGGGATAGAAGAGGAAGTTCCACTCCACCATCAACATTATGATGAATTGGGTCCATGATATCTGGACCGCTTGAGGTATCTACCAGACTAGTCACAGATGATGTCATACCAGAGCTTGAGCTGTCACTGGTTATACTTTCAGGGGGAGATATCCAACCTTTTTCATACAATGAAAGTCGGCTCACATCAAAGGAACTCTCGCCCGCCTCTCTGTCACTTCCAGAGATATCATGTTTTCTGTTGAACATGTTATCCAGATTAGAGATATCAGAATTTGATGGACTTATATTATCTGATCTGATTCCCTGACTTTCTCCCATTCCTTCAAGATCCTGAAAGTATTGAAGTAGGATCATATTAGAACCATATATGGGCAATAATCAAAGGGGAGTCTTGGCACACCAGTTACAGTGCTGCCGAGTGACCGAGAGGTAACGGGATCAAGTCCTTGGGAGCAACCTCTTGTCAAAATGACAAGGGAAGGCATGTCCCTTATACATCCTTGTGGTGGGACCCATCCGCGGACCCTCACCAATGTGCACCGGGATGCCCTTTTTATATGGGCAATAACCGAAGACATGGAAAGAAACTTTTTTTATCACCAACAGAAGCCAATAAACACAGTTTAATATAATTTTAGTCCAATACTTTATTAAGGTTTCCTGCATGTAGACTAGCAGATTGTGCTAGCTTGTTGAGCATGGAAAGAAGTCCTTCGACAGATGATGTAACGGAGGGAACCAAAGGCCTAAATGCTTGGTAACTGTCCTTGATTCTTGAATGGTAAGACTGGAACATTGTTTGTCCATGGACTGGTGATATCTCTGTCTTTGTCTCCCACTCCTTTGACATACACTCAGTCAGGACAGTAGCATCCTCGGAAAACATAGTTTCAAGCGGAAGTAAAATAGTACAGGCCTGAAATAATGAGAAGAAAAAAACTGAAAATATAATTAAAAAGGAAATCATCAATGGTCCCTACAGTGTGTTTCTACTTCCTAGTTTCCTACTACCCAAAGATTGTTCTCACCTCTA